GATTCGATTTGTTACCTTTGGGAGAAGGGGGTACGAACCTTACAATAATAGCTGAAGCTACTTGGCCCAATGGACCAGCTTCAATCGTAGGTGTATTTTAACCGAACAATTCCTCCATAAAATATAAAACAAAATTTTTTTTTTTCACTTTTTTTAATCCTGACTCCCTAACATGCGTTTGGACGTACCAAAACTCTCTCATCAATTATTGATAATTAGTAATTAATCAGAAAATAAAAACACTAAGTTAAGTATTAGGAGTAATCAATTAACCAATCTGCGTATTTTCTTTTAACAGTCTTGCATCAATATGTCTTCAGCATATACTATATTCTTCTCCTCCTTTTTGCTATAGACTTCCAAGCAAATCTCTTCCCCAAACTATTGAAACAAAGATGGGTGCAAGTATCCTTGCCTCTCTCGTAGATGTAGCTGTGTCGAAGGTGATTGCATTTGTTTCTGATCAGTTCAATTTAGTACTGGGATGGGACAAGGACCTGACAAAGTTTCGTGATACAATGGAGATGCTCCGAGGTTTCTTGCAAGATGCTAATGAAAAGAACGTCAGTGACGACCATGCTCTGAAGTCGTGGCTCCAGGGTCTTCGAGATATTGCAGATGAGGCTGATGATATACTGGAGGAGGTCGCTTATGAAGGTATGCAGCGGAAAAATAAGAAATCGAAGGTCAGGCACTTGACTCTGCCTGACCCCTCGACCTTGCGATTTCGCCGGGTAATGGCTGATAGAGTTGCGGATTTGAATAAAAGACTTGCTGATATCAATTCCTCGGCTCAGCAGTTGAGACTTCAAAAAAAACTTGCAAACATGGTTCCTGAACCCAGAGGCAGGGCAATTCCAGAGACTCACTCTTTTCTTTCATCTCAAGTGTTTGGAAGAGACGAAGATGTCTCTAAAATAGTCAGGTCGTTGGTTGACTCAAGTAGTCAGCATGACCTCCCTGTCATGATTATAGTGGGTATGGCAGGCCTTGGCAAAACCACTATAGCAAAAGCAGTGCTTAAAAATGATAAAATACGAGAACATTTTGGTGATAATAAAATGTGGGTTTGTGTATCTGAAAATTTTGATGTCAAAATGATTTTAATGGAGATGTTGAAGTCTTGTGGTGGAAGTAGTAGTGGTGATGGTGATTTTGGAAGCAAAGATATAGTGATGAAGAAAATACAAGAGAAGTTGAGGGAGAAAAATTATCTTCTCATACTAGATGATGTCTGGAATGAGGAGAGACAGAAGTGGGAGGATTTAAGGGATTGCTTGTTGGGAATAAGTGGAAGTAAGGGGAGTAGGGGTAAGGTGCTTGTGACAACCCGGCTTGAAGATGTTGCATCAGTAATGGCACTTACTGATGAACACATCCATCGTCCTCGGCTATTAAAGGAAGATGAGTGCTGGACTATAATCAAGCAGAGAGCATTTGGAGACAATTCAGTACCTGAGGGGTTAGAGGGAATTGGGAAACAGATTGCTAGAAGGTGTAAAGGCGTTCCACTAGTTGCAAATATTACAGGGGCTATTTTACAGAATAAGAGGGACAAAAGGGAGTGGCAGGCCATTACAGAGAATTGTGTTTGGGATTCACTGGAAAAGCAGGAGGGGATCTTGGATATTGTAAAATTCAGCTATGATCGCTTGCCCACACTGGCTTTGAGGCAATGTTTTGCATTTTGTTCCATTTTTCCTAAGGATTTTGTCATGGAAAGGGAGATGCTAATTCAACTTTGGATGGCTCAAGGATTTCTTGAATCACCTGAAGAAATTAGTAATATGGAAGCGGAAGATATTGGTGACAAGTATTTCAGATATTTGTTATCATATTCCCTATTTCAAGATGAAATTAGGGATGATGTAACTGGGAGTGTTGAATTTTGTAAGATGCATGATTTGATTCATGATTTTGCCCAGTCAATTTCAAAATCTGAGACGCTGATTGTTGAGGAGCGGCCTAGGAGCAATATTTCTCATGATGTTAGGCATTTGAATCTAATTGATGGGAGGGATATGGTGCCATCTATTTTAGGGGATGTTGCTGAAAAGTTGCAGACATTGTTTTCCAAGCATAGTTTTTCTAATGGTGTGCAAGTGGATCTTATAAGGTTGCGAGTTCTCAGCCTTAGAGGTGTTTATGATGCAAAACAATTGCCAACGTGCTTTGGCAACTTGAAGAGGTTGAGGTACTTGGACATTTCAAGAACTCAGATAAAAGAACTGCCTGAATTCATCTCCGAGTTGTACAATCTACAGACATTTAGATTCACGGAATGCAGATCTCTTAAAATGCCTCCCGGTGGAATAGGAGATTTAATCAACTTGAAGCATATTGATTTCAGTGATGAAGAGCGTATGCCTGCAAACCTTGGGAGACTAACCAACCTACAAACATTGCCATTATTTTTTGTAGGTACAACAGAAGGACGTAAAATTGAAGAATTGGGAAGCTTAAGAGAACTCAAAGGAAGACTAAAGATCTGTAAGCTTGAGCTTGTTGCAAGCAAATCGGAAGCAGAGGGAGCAAAGTTCAAAGACAAGGCAGTTGGGCATTTGATATTTCATTGGTCGGAAGGCAAAGGCAATCAAGATAAAGATGAAGATGTCTTAGAAGGCCTCCAACCCCCCTCAAATATAAGAAGATTAAGGATTGCTGGCTATGGAGGTAGAAAGTTGGCATCATGGATGTTGTCACTCAACAATTTGGTGGATCTGACAATATCCAGGTGCTATATGCTTCACAGAATTCCAGATATCAGTGGGCTTCTATCTCTTCAGCAGCTTCATGTTCGCCAGTGTGATGAAGTAACTAGTTTGGGTGATGGTGATGGAGCATTTACGTCTCTCAAACAATTATCCATAAACGGGTGTGGTAAGTTAGAGAGAGTTTTGGTTAGTGGATTATCATCTCTGGAGGAACTCAAGATTGTGTATGGCTGGGTGATAAATAGCATAGGAGATAGCCTATCAAGCTCCACGTGTCTCAAACATTTGCATCTGGAAGGCTGTCTTAAATTGCAGTCTATTCCAAGTCTAGAAGGACTTGTCTCTCTCAAAACAATATATATTTCCAGATGTGATGAATTAGAGCGTCTACCGAGTGGGCTCTCATCTTGCACTGCTCTGGAGAAATTGAATATAGAGGGATGCTCTAATTTGGTTTCTATTCTTGAAGAATTGAAACAGTTGCAGTCTCTTGTTGAGTTGAAATTTTGGAGTTGTCCAAAATTGAAGTTTATTCGTCTAGAAGGACTTGTCTCTCTCAAAACAGTATATATTTACCAATGTGATGAATTAGAGTGTCTTCCGAGTGGGCTCTCATCTTGCACTGCTCTGAAGAAATTGAAGATAAATGAATGCTCTAGTTTGGTTTCTATTCCTGAAGAAGTGAAACAGTTGCAGTCTCTTGTTGAGTTGGATTTTGAAAAGTGTCCAAAATTGAAATTTATTCCAAGTCTAGAAGGACTTGTCTCTCTCAAAACAATAAATATTTACTTTTGTGAAGAATTAGAGCGTCTACCGAGTGGGCTCTCATCTTGCACCGCTCTGGAGAAATTGGAGATAACGGGATGCTCTAATTTGGTTTCTATTCCTGAAGAATTGAAACAGTTGCAGCCTCTTGTTGAGTTGAAATTTTGGAGTTGTCCAAAATTGAAGTTTATTCCAAGTCTAGAAGGACTTGTCTCTCTCAAAAAAATAAATATTTTCAATTGTAAAGAATTAGAGCGTCTACCGAGTGGGCTCTCATCTTGCACTGCTCTGGAGAAATTGGTGATAACGGAATGCTCTAATTTGGTTTCTATTCCTGAAGAACTGAAACAGTTGCAGTCTCTTGTTGAGTTGGATTTTGAAAATTGTCCAAAATTGAAATTTATTCCAAGACTAGAAGGACTTGTCTCTCTCAAAACAGTAATTATTACCGGATGTCATGAATTAGAGCATCTACCGAGTGGGCTCCCATCTTGCACTGCTCTGGAGAAATTGGAGATATGGGGATGCTCTAATTTGGTTTCTATTCCTGAAGAATTGAAACAGTTGCAGTCTCTTGTTGAGTTGAATATTAAGAAATGTCAAAACTTGAGGAGCTTCCCAGAGGAGATCTTGGGCTCTCTTGCCAGCCTGAAGGAATTAGGGCTTGGCCCTTTCTCAGAAGAGCTGAAGGAATTCCCAGATTTGAGTTCCACTTCCTCCCTTGAAGTCTTGCGTTTGGAAGGATGGGGGGAATCGCTAACTCTGCCACATCAAATTGATCGCCTCACTGCTCTCAGGAACTTAACTATCACAAGCGTCAATGGAGTGGAAGAAGCTTTATTGGAAAACCTTTCTTGTCTTAAAACACTTGAAATTCAAAATTGTTGTCGGTTAAGGTGTCTATCAGGTGGGCTGTCATCTCTTGAGGACCTGGTGATAACAAATTGCCCGAAATTTGTGGGCTTCCCAGAGGAGAGTCTCGGCTGCTTTACTAGGTTGAAGGGATTAGAGATCGGCCGTTTCTCAGAAGAGCTGGAAGAATTCCCAAGTCTGAGTTCCATCCCCGCCTCCCTTGAATATTTGAGCCTGACGGGATGGGAAAAACTAACTCACCTTCCACAAATTCAACACCTCACTGCTCTAAAGCAGTTGTGTATAGAGCACTTCAGTGGAATGGAATCTTTGCGAGACTGGTTTAACAACTTGTCCTCCCTTCAAGAACTTAAAATTTGGGGCTGCCCAAACGAGTTAAAGGAAAGATGCACCGAGGGAAGCGGTCCTGACTGGCACAAGATTTCTCACATTCCAGACATCGAAATAGATGGGATCCCCATCCAATACGAAGATGGATACGAATCCGAAGACTGAGGCAAAGAGGTTTGTGTTTCTTTTTTCTCACAACTGCACTTGTACAAATTCCCGACACCAAAAAGTAAAATCTCTCTCCTCATCCTCTATCAATTAATTGGATTGATGCTGCTCCTTCCATCGCTGTTGGGTGCCGCCAATTAGTGTTATCTCGTCAAAATTATTTGTACTTTCTCTCAAACCATATATAAATTCATGTTTTCTTTTTTCTCACTTTTGATTCATATTCTTATACTGCATGTAGATGTGATTAATTATGAGTGAATAATCAATGAGTTGATGGAATGATGATTTCTACAATTATCCTACAAGCTTCAACGTTGTGGTAATTAATTCATCGCTCTTCACTTGATCAATTTAACTTATCTTACACATTTGAGGAGTGTGAGCACAAGCAGAATTTGATTCAACATGGAAATGAACTGCTGCATTTCTTGCTTTTTGAAATTACATTTGATATTCCAAAGATGGCATGGCAGGAGGAGAGGAAGGAAAGCAGCAGTGTTTGCCAAGCCAAAGACAATTCTGGTATGCTTACTAGAATTTTCTATGGGTTTAACATTTAAGCATTTTGGTTCTGCATTTTAGTATTAATCTTACCCACTTGGAAATTTGGATTGTGCAGT